TTGGCTCGGATTGGCTGGCATTCAGACCAATCGGGGCATGCCTTCGTTTGGCCCGTGCCCTGCACGTGACACATCCGTTCAAATGATGTGGTGTTCGGTTATTAGGGACGGGTGGCCTCCGAACATCACCTTTATGATTTTGCTAAAGCGCTGCGCAATAAAAGCAGTTGGTTGACAGCTTAACTCTCTCAGCCACCGATCGGTCTGGATGAACAGTCCTATGTTGTACTTATCTCGCAACGAGTTCGAGTGAGCGGACTCGGGTATAATCATGTCAAGTCTATTTTATTTACATGTGAATGCGTGTGGCGCAGAACATCAGTCATCCTAATGGACAGACCGGTCACTGGGCAGGTTGCGTGAATAGCTAAATGTGTCAGTAAAACGCCCAGCAGTAGTTTCCACTAAACTGTTAGGTAGCTACCTACTCAATGAAGCCGCTTGTGCATGTTGGGAGCTTTCTTACCACAGTTCGACTGCTGAGGTATACGTTTTTCAACCGTCATCCGTTTTCTATCAGTCAGAAATAAAACCATGCGCCTAAGCTTAACAGTGGTGTTGTGTGGACGTGGAGAGAATGTGTTTTATCCTGATTTAGAGATTTTAAAGCACCTGTGCATCATTCGTTTCAGGTTCTTGTTTATCTCTTAGCTGTAATGCACAAAGTTATCTACACCACTATGTTGATTGGCCTTCAAACACAGTATAGGTATGGATCCGTCGATCGGCTATGGTTTAAAAACCATACTTTTTGAGGAGTTTCCTTCGGAATATTATTGTGATGTGTTGTAGAAGCAGCGGAATCAGCAAATCATCATATGAATTACTGAAAAAATTTCCTTCTTCCTCCCAAAAGCTAAAAGTGGATGCAAACCAGTTGGGAACTTTGCTAGCCTTACGCTAGACTAAGTTTCCGAATGAAACCATTCTGTGATGGTGTATTGGCAGCATAGAGGAAAATGTCGGTAGCTCAGGTAGCGTAGATGGTCATTGGCTTGTTCGCTGAGCTGGGCACTCCGATTGCAAACGTTGCATCACCAATCGAGGTGACGTTATTGGGGAGTGTAGCTGTGCGTAGCGGTGGGTTAGCGGTTGTGGACGAACAAGCCAACGACCATATTGGCAGCAATTTACTGTTTTGATAATACATTTTCGCCAGTCTGAATCACGGTAAACATTCAGTGGATTCGGTGTCAGTTATCCTGTTCACGGTCCCATAAGCTGACAGGTGATGGAACGGCGTGTTCATTTCCCACGACAACGCTCCATTTAGCGAATTTCCCTTGTGTGGATTCATCACAGTCATCTTAGAAAGGCAATCAAGTTAGTTTTTTGTCATATCCTGATCAGTAGCCGCCCAGGTACCCAGTCAACTTAGAGATATTTGAAACCAAGCGCTGATGGTCGTGTTTGAACTCACTTGATCCTGATGAATCGTGCTAAGCTGTTGATGCAATGGCAGTTCCTTCCAGGGGGCTTGTTAGAAACCTGCAGTTCGATGGATAACTGCAAAAATCATTAGACTTGAGCGATTTCAGCGCAATAAGTTTGGTCACATTTATTGGGGTACCACAAAAACATCACCGTGTTGTGACTTGTAGCGCACAGTTTTACAATAAAATTGTTTCGATGCCAACATTAATCGCGCCGATTCCCTTCCTGGACAAGGATCTAGACTAGCTTTTCTGCCTGCGCCTGAGCTCAAGGCTGAGTAGCTAGGGAATCACTCTTCTTACAGCTTCAATAGGTAACAGAAGGAACTGCACCGATCAGTTCAGAGTAAAAGCGCTGCTCTGCTTCTGGTCAGGAGTGTGCTATATGGTCTAGCTTGACTGGAACTGGGTCATTTTACAATGTTCTGCACAGTTTTTCCCACACAAATGTTTATGTTGGCTTAAATGATCAATGTCTTCCTCCTCTTCTCTCCGTCTCCTAGTTCACTGAATATCTGAGCTTTGTCAGCCATTTGCCAGAGCTGCAATACGACTGGCTGGATTTCGGCGGATGAAACTGAGGAAAATGAACTATACTTCAAAATTGGTTGCCGAATTCAAAGAGGGGTGTTAGTTATCGTTCACTGAATCGTGTGAAATACGAGAGGAGTATGGGACATCAAGAAAATGATTATATAAAACCTATAAAGGCCAGAATATGAGGAGCGTGGGGACATCTTTATGGAGGTTCAGCGAAATTGTATCTAAGTACCTTGGACCTTTTGGTTTTGGGTGAGTGATCAGGCAGGTCCACTGGTATTTCAGATACGCAGTTCGCTTCGCGCGATCTGTTGGGGGCTGTCTCATCGACTGACGACATGTAGGGAGACTGAATATATTGGGAGATTGAAAGAGTAGGCCAGGACGAACGCGCGGGTTACGGAGCCACCCTTTGCAATTAAAACAAAATACCATTCTGAATTGCGCTTTTAAGCTAACTTCCTTTACCTCCGAGTCTTTTAGCACAACTTGACTGGCCGCGTGGAGTTCTCTGAATTCATGGATTTGTGGCAACACGCAAAGGGATGGAAGGTAAGTGAGGTGGATGTTTTGTTTAGTCGTCACTAGAACTTGCCTCCAATTTTTCTCCTTATAAAAGTCAGAGGCAGAGGTATTGACGTCAGTTGTTAACTCGAAGCTTGTCAGTTGCGCACTCCCCTACCGTCTCGAAACTTCACCTACGATATGAGTTGACTCAAATGACAGCAAAGCAAAACGCTGTCGGCTTATCACATCTGAACAGTTAAACGTATTCACGGCTGAGAGATGTAACTCACTTACCCAGTGCTCCGAAAGACAGTCAGGTGGCTGTCTCGGTCGTACCTATTGACTGACCCGTCTGTCAGGAGCCTTGAAACTCGTTTTGCGGGATGTATGTGATGCAAGTTCACATCACTCTCCTCTCGAACCGACGCAATCATTCTGGGGAGTCTACACCAAAGGATGTAGGCAGCGGACTCCAGTTTCGCTCTCATTATAGCTCATGAGCTGTGAATATGCTTTGGAGTTTCGAGGTTCGAACTTTGCACATCTGATATGCGGGGCGATCGGGTTACCACTATTACTTGGTGAAGGTTGTCAGATTTACAGCAATAGCATTCATGCCGCCCTCAGTTGAATGGGCCCTTTTCTGTCCAGACACAATTATTCTGATGAGCTCATGATGACAAGGAGGAAGAAAACTGGATTCTTATTAGAGACAGACAACATAAATATCCCCGTGCTTACCCGGGCGTCTGGGGCGTCTGATATGCCAGGTGAGCGTAGTACCAAGGCTTCCTAGCGTCGGCGAACGCACCTGATTTGTCACATTTGAGTGTGTGGACCGTAACATCCCTCAGCGTCTTTCACGTGTGCGAACAGTGTGAACTGGAGGAGCATCAACAGTACATTAGTTGGTATCAAAAGTGATCGGGGCTTGAATCCAAGTAAGACCCGTGATTTGCAACGCTGGTGAGATGAGATTGCAAAAGACCAGCATTGTAAAACTCTCACGTCTCTTGTGGTCTTCCTACAAGCATTGCGACAAGACAAGATGAGGACTTAACAACAGGGTATGACCCAGAAGATTGTGAGCATAGCCCGGTCCTCACATTTAGATACTTTTAGGCGTGTGACAGTATATGGTGAGCTCTCCAGAAGACCCCTACAAAAACTGGCGTCCCACAAGGATATCCACACTCTCTATTCTTCTTCAGCTTCGTCACTGCTAAAACAATGAGGCGAACGCTGGAAGGTCTTCAAACCCCCGGTGTTCAAATCGTTGCTGGTGAGGACCTTGCCAATCTGGAGTACGCAGACAACACTGCCTTCGTCTTTGAAGATGAAGGCGCAGCAAAAGCACTGTTGAATAAATTGACCAAAATCATATCATATTTCGCTATGCGCCTTGCACATTTAAAGTGCAGGCTCATGCTTCAGAACGTGCATTCTCTGAACATACACGTAAAAGTCAACAAGAATCGCTGGAGGTTTTAGAGAATTCTACCTACTTCGGTGGACGTATCAGCTCTGATTGAAGTGTGTACGATGAAGTCAGTGCACAAATCTCAAGGACTAGGATGACGCTTACTGATTTGCATCACTTGTGGTGTCAAGAAGGCATATCACTGGGTTTCAGGGGTAGCGTGTACCAAGCTACAGGCTGTATTGTTTTATACTTGCGAAACAGATTATGTAAGACATCTTCAGGTTTTTGACCACCGATGCCCCAGAAAAGTTGCTGGGTTTGGATGGCACCAACGACTTGGTAACAAGTTAACTAAGAAACGGGTATTTATTCGTGCGACGGGTACTTCGATCACGGAAAGCATCCAGTGCGACGGCTGGGCCATTTGGTACGTATGGTCAAACACATTCTATCGAAATGTCAATATGGTTAATTCCGCGCTGAATGTCGAAACTGGTTGACTTTCTGTGTTGCCCCAAGTGTGAAGTAGGTTTGCAAACGATCTCCATAGCATGAAAGTATGAAAAGCGCACATGAGAATAGATAATCCGAACGAGTGAGTAGAAATAAGCCGATCGAAAATAGGTAGAAATGACTGACGGTGTGGCGAATGTGCGATGCAGACTGATATATCTCGGAGTTATATGCTGAATTACTTTTGTTGACAATCAAGTGATGTAATGTGTGAGCAGTTACATACCATGGGAGGTGCCTCTTTTCCTCAAGACCATCCAATATGCTTTCTAAATAAAATATTTGAGTACGGGAAAATCTTCATTTGGAACAACCATTTGCTCGTAAGTCTCTTCTTGTGGGGAAAAATACTCAGAAGGGAATTCATTTTATTGCTTGTTTCTCAAAGTGTACTGAGCCCACGAGGACATTGCATTAAAACTGTTTGGGTATCGACCGGAAAGTGATTGGCACTAGTAGCTAATCGCCAAAAATCAAGGACCCCCCTGCGATGATGTAAAAAAGACTATTCAGACGAGTATGTCTTACATGTATTGCTGTTTAATTCACACACGTTAACCCTGTGCTGCTGAACTATTCCTTCGTAATTTCAGAACGTATTCCTGAAACACGATGTGGATAGAAGTGGGAAATTCCAAGCTGAGGAATTCCGAGAGGCACTTAGATCTTGTGGTAAGTGGAAGTGCGCCTTCTTCATGCATCTTCGAGAGACGGTGCACCTGTGACGATAGACTTCCTAACTGATGCTAACTAATGTTCCTGGATCAAAACATGTTTACTGTTTAAATGTATGACACAGCTTTCTACAAATGTTTTCTGGTCGATAGTGGCGATTTGAAGCTTGGTGTGTATAGAGAATGCGTAAATATTTGAAGATTCACTGTTCATTGATTTCCTCGTGGCTTCACTAACGAACTTACTGCTCACTGAGTAGCCGTAGGTAGTACGGCTGTTGCCATAGGCTGATATTGTTCGACCAACCGTGACATGACTGAACTACATACACTGAAATGCCGGAAGACAGCCAAGAAATCACAGATGTCATAATCTAGGGTGTTGTTTTCGGGCGATATGGCTCAAGTGGTTAGAACATGCATTTACTGACTGGAGGGTTCGTGGTTCGAACCCGAGCTCTCCCTCTCGACTTCCCAACTCTAGGCCTGGGTAACCTGGCAGTATCTCAGCCCTCGTTATTCTTTCGGGTTGCATGGCAGCTAGGCACTGAAAGGGCGTTACAGCTGAACGATTATTTATTATTAGGGTGTTTTTGAGTTTAATAGGGGAATCATCCAAGGGTAGAGACGTAGTTTTCGTTTCTCTTCGTTTGTCTAATCCCAGTGGGGGTGGAGTTAACTGTCGTCTCTGAAGGGACGTGCGGGCTTATTATCTAACGACTTTGGGGATTTGTACTTCTTGGCACGTGGAGGGTTAGTGTAAATAAATCAATACTAGCTCACTTGTACAGTGGCTTGCAGTTGATCCGTTAATTGATCAGTTACATGTTTAGTCACTCGTCGGAGGGCATATGTGGTCGCGTCACCTACCAAGTGATCAGACCTCACATTAGAAAAGGATGACTGAAACGGACGATAACCATGAGGCTGTTTGTTTTAATTTCATGCAGTGAGGGGTCGGTCATCCTGGACTTCTAAGTGAAGTTTAGAAATATATACCAAATTTTTATACAAATAAGTGTATTCCGCTAATTTCATAGAACATAAGGTTGACGGAAACTCGTGGACTACCTGATGAGTTCCAAGTAGTGTGAAACCGGCCGTGGCTTGATAATTCTCGTCAGCGAGGACCGTTTTTATATTTATTTGGTCAAGTTCCACCTAATATGCTGACCCCCTCGGTCGTTTTCAATCGCACCTTAGACCCACATGAGATGTCATGACATCTCACCTAGGTTCACGTATGGTTTCTATCATCGATTGTTCATCTCTAGGCCTGTAAACCGTTCCTAATCCGTATTTAGTACCAAGAAATAAGGTAGAGGAATGCCTCATGCAATCAAAAGTACAATGTGCTCGTTCTCGGTACTCTCAATTTGGTTGCACTGATCATGTTCTTGATGGACTGCCAAAATTGTCGGGTCGCAAGAATTAGCCGAATTTGATGTACACACTGTTTTCAAAAGCGCGTGTTTAGTGGGCTAATCTATTTTTACCAGGTGAAGCTTTCGAAATCTTGAAGAACCTGTCCCCTACCCATAACATTGTTATAACGCAACTCCTATCTCTCCCCTCTTGATCAGGGTACACTGTAAGCAACAAGTTTTTCAACGCTTTGGTTCACCGCTACCAAGACCCCGACACCGAAGTGATGCGATTCGAAGACTTCATGCTTTGCGTTATCCGTTTGAAGAATGTGTTTGAAACATCCGCGGCCCAACCAAAAACCTATGAAGGAGCTCCTATGTTCACCACGGATGACGTAAGTCAGATTTATTCTGTATTGTCGTCTTTCTGTGAATGTGTCAACAGTAAGAAGTTTTATGCCATTTTATGTTGCCAGAGAATGCATGAAGATGACGCAAGGTCTCTTTATTGACCAGATTCCAGTTTGGTTATAGTCGCGTAGAAATTGGCTCAGCGATCTTGAGGGCGCCAGCTCCTTGTTGATTTGACTGGACCTGTGGGCGTCGGGCTGATTTTTCATAAGAGTACTCCATCCAAGATTCACGGCAGCCATTGGATTATTTGTGTCTGACCTTTCCTTGTTTCTTGTGCCTTATCCCTAATTTTAGTTGGAAATATCTCAGCGCGATTTCCTGTTCTCCATTTCAGTATCTCCGTTGCAGCGTATACACCTAAGAACACTTTCCAGAAGATGGATAAGTGGTTTCGACCTTGGCTGTGTTGGTGCATCGCATGATGTGTGCAACAAATTAATAGCGCCTTACTTCTATTGCTTACTTCTAGCTTTTTCGACTTTACAGTCCCCTCCACCCAAACTACTTTCGGAGTGTTCTATGCTTTATTCTATTCTTATTCATTAAATGACCATAACTGACGTAATAATATTTCGATTTCCATTGTTTCACCGCCTTCTCACCTGGGTGATGGAAGACATGAAGAACTGTGACAGTGAAGATTAGCAAGCTGACACAAAACCGGTTTTCATTCCACGTTCATGTATGAACTGTCCCTCTCCTTTTTTGGCGCAATTAGTTTCCGAAGTTCACATCAAACTGGGGAAGGAAGCATTGAACTCGGGTTCGACTCACCAGCAGTACATATCTTTGGCCTTCCTGGTTTGGAACTCCGGAGATCCCACGTGTGATGCAAGCGAGTCTATGCGGCAGAAGTGGCTCTTCGCAGTGACACTCGAAAGACGTTTGAATAGTCTGTGTGCGGACAGAGTTCTTTAAACAAGCCGCCGAAATGTTTAGTCTACTTAATGATTATTGAACGCCAGGTTGTGAATTTGTTTGCTGAGCTGCAAGTGTCCGGTCATCATCTGAGGATACCATCAACACACGGTTAGGACCTGTCAACTCAACTCGGATAAAATCTTCTGACAGTTCATCAACAGTGATGACCAGCTTGAACAGACCACGTCTTACACCATGGTTACCAAAAAGTCCATGTAGACTGTTGATGACGCGCGGTTCGTTTAAAAAGAATTCTGTCCACTAAGGATTTGTTGCAAGAGCTGTCTGGACTGGTTCAAAGTAAAGGACAAGTATAGGACTGAACCTGTTTAGACTGGAGTAGCATGAATAAAAAATCCTAATAGCTCTCGGTCCCGGGCTACCGTTGAATTGTTTGATCACCTGATAACCAACCTGTGGGTTGACTCAATCCAATGTAGTTGTGAGCACTAGTGTCTTAAGTCAACATAACCAGCTCTTGAGCTGTCTGTCTTTTCAGGAGCAACAAGACAGCTTTGACAACTTTGGACGATAGCCGAGTTATTGTTCACTCCACCTACCAAAGATGGAAAGAATCACCGCAAGCTCGTTGATAACCAGAGTCAAAATGATATTTTTTCTAAAATAAAACTCCCAAAGTCACCTTGTTTAATAATGTCAGGTATATTCTGCAGCAAAACAGCTATCGAGCTCCTTTCACTGGGAAGATTCCCGTTCAGTCGCAATCAATCAATCAGGAAAGTACAGCCATCTTATCAACTGGTCAGATTTCCTACCGCGCTTAAAATTTCTGAGCGAGTTCTCTCAGTTTTTTTCCGGAACGGAACATACCGTCTTCAAAATTACTAACACCATTAGCAAACACTTGGTATACTCTAAACAGATGCACAAGCTGCCTTGATGTACAAAATAGGTTGTCGGGTCTACGAAGCAACTCGCATGGCAAAGACGAGCAGTCAAAACAATGTAGCAGACACGCACGCCTCCAGCCCCAGAATTTCTCTGCAATTTCAAAAAACTGAGGGACTTATCGATTACCCTTTACGCCCCTGTCGAACACCGCGTCTGATTTGATTAGGCTCGACCAGTTCAGACAAACCCCTAAGTGCAAGCAGAACGGTGCTCTGCGGAAGCTTTGGCAATTCACGCAACCTGCCTGCATGAATCAAACTGAGGGCCGGCTCATATCTGCTGTATGTTCAAATCCTATAAAAACCAGGGTAGCTTGATCAAGTGACCCCATATGTAACCAGTACAGATGTGACTGTCAGTCAGATATCGCTCCAACCCTTCGAAATTCCGTTTGGTTTGCTCCTGACGTTGATTGAAAAGTTAAGCTGCGAAAAACTCTGCTAGCGTGTTCCAGCAACATTCAGTCTTAACTTCACACCGTAGATTTTCGTTACTGGGTCTTGTACACATGCGTCTATTGTCAAGATCTTCGTCGAACTCTTCCCCCCTCCCGTTCAAGAACTGAACACTGCGGTCACTCCTGAGCTTGATCAGTGACCCCATATGTAACCAGTACAGATGTGACTGTCAGTCAAGAAATCCTTTCGAAGGCAGATATCGCTCCAACCCTTCGAAATTCCGTTTGGTTTGCTCCTGACGTTGATTGAAAAGTTAAGCTGCGAAAAACTCTGCTAGCGTGTTCCAGCAACATTCAATCTTAACTTCACACCGTAGATTTTCGTTACTGGGTCTTGTACACATGCGTCTATTGTCAAGATCTTCGTCGAACTCTTCCCCCCTCCCGTTCAAGAACTGAACACTGCGGTCACTCCTGACAATAGGTGTACAAAAACACTCCGTAACGGTTCATGCTACTGCTACAGTCTTCTAGCGACTGTAAGTAATCAGGACTCAGGTTCTTCATACTCAAGAGTAGCATCAAACCCCAATAGTGCCACAAAGTTATAAATCTCTTTCCACGAGGCTACTGTTCCTCGCGATCTGCACTGCTGAGTGCGACACTGGATTTACTGAATCGGTTACCTGTCTGTGGTCAACATAGTGACCATAATGGATGACCCGGATATTGTTAGGGGGTGGAGAGAAAGTTGATGGATATTGAAACGAGAATCACGAGTATATGCAGGCCGAGTAAAAAACAGGTTTGGTGACGGACTCGAATCTCCAATTTACTACTTACCGGACTGGTGCTTTACCGACTGAGGTGTTGAAGAACTTTGCTCTTGTTTGAAGTTTAGGTGCAGTAGTGTGGGAAAAGCGACAGTCCACGGTAGATCAGTCGGGAGAGCCTCTATCATGCGAGGAGTGTCGCACGATCCTTCGTTCGTATTAGCTGAATATACCACATTGTCGTCATTTTTCATACAGTCAGAATTCAGATTTGCCTAGCGCCCGAAGACTGTAGAACGCGAAGAATAAGCAGCAGTTAAAACTGCAACCCCAAAAATAAGAGACACACCAAAATAATTACGTAGCTCTTCCAGGTTTTGTCTCCGAAGATGATGCTGTTTCTAACAGGAATGTTACCCCAAGAATATCAGCTGCCTAAGACAAAGTCCTTCGTACCTTAGGCACAAGAATGCTCTTCTCCAACTTGTTCTGCACGCCTCAAATCCTTCTACTTCTGGTGCACCAAAACTTAAATCCTTTTCACCGATCAGTCCACTGTACTTCGGCTATGAGTTCGACGGCGATGTGACTAATAACGATGGCTTTTAGAGGAAGGAAACTTGGCAGATGAGGGCGATTTGCCCAGTCCTGCGGGTGGTTGTTCGTCGATGGTGAAGGGTTGCAAGCTGGAACGGCACCTTGGTGGCAACCGAGTGTTTAGTAGCCAAATGCAACTGCTGCAGATTCGATTCACGAAAAATAAATATATTAATTATATGCGCCAGTAATAAACATCATCTCCACTGGTTCACAATAGAGACATTCCGTGTCAAACACGCGAGTTGCGTATTGTTAACGCGCAACAGTTATGGATAAATTTTCGGAGATTCTCTTAACTTGTCGCAGTCTTTTGACGGTTGACTTTCATAAAACTGTCGGTTCATGATAGCCACCATTTCAGATATGCCAGGTAAAAGAGACTTTCGAAGTAACACATTAGTGATATTCACGGATCAAATTGTCCCTGCAGTGGGTTGGAATTGTGTGAACTGGGAATAACTATTCGAGGTAATAGCTTGGTGACACCTTTTGAAAGTTGCAAGATTTTCCCGAAGAATGTTTACCTATAATGAATTTCTTTCGTACATATTTCACCTCAATTAAGGAGTCCAAAGGCATCGTCGAGAATTGAATTAAGTTTTCGCCTAAATTCTCAGATTTTTGTCTACTTTGAAGCTTAGTAAAAGATGCAGTTCTGTGCCAAGCAATAAATTTGTAAGAGCTTGATCATCAAAGCATGGGAATTTGGACTTCATCCACTGGACAAGGAAACGGCCATCACGTTCAAGTGGTTATCCTGTACACGCAGCCAGTTCGCAGTGTGTGGAGTATTACTCACACCATGTACAATGACAGAAAGGAGGGTATTAGTGCCGAACTCATTCCAAAAGCTAGAGGATATATGATCCAGATTCTGGACTATCTAAGATCTTTGTAAGTTAATCGCCAAATGAAAAAAACCCAGCTGAAGAAAAAGCACTGAAGATAAGGTTCAATAGAATTTGTATTCAAGGATTCATGTGAGGGTTTGAAACAATCGACACAATGAAAGCCGAATTAAAATGGTTGAAGAACGCTAAATTTTGATAAACAGTATGGTAATACTAGTGATTGTATCTGCCATAGGTACTGTGGTTGTAATGAGTACTGGATTTTCTCGTGAAGGGCGAACGAACAGAAAGGATATTGACCAAGGCACTGGTAAAATTCAGCGATCAAAACAACAGCTGAATTTCATACTGGATGATGAGTTCGCGCCTAAGCATCGACAATAAGAATGTACAAGATGCCAATTAGGGGGTTTTCTAGGATGACGACCTTGGTCTGGAGGTGAAATTTCCAGTAAACTCATGTTTGGAATAAGCATATCAGTGTCATCCTTCAACCGATAATCCCCATCCCACTGCGCCTCGGACTCCTACATGATTCTTCAAACATTTGGTAGAAAGTTTTTATTGGAACAGAACATTCAATGAATAGTGATGCTGACGGAGATTTCTTAACAAAGTAATCAGAACAATCATTTTTGAGGGAATCTGAATAAAAAGTAAACGTTAAAATGAGTCCGTGATAAAAAACACTGATCCACAATCATCAACGTTTGTGCGAATCCACAAGCTACGAATGAAATTTCACCGACTGACGGCATTTGCTGCGTGGTTTGTTCACAAGCTTTTGATCAGTTCCTCTAAATTGATATTTTTTAAACCCATATCGGAAAGCATGAGTTCATCATCATCCGCGTCCTCCGCGTCATCAAATTCGTCATCAGAGTCGTCATCTGAAGAATTGACTGAAAAAGGACTTAAACTCAAAAGTGGGATCACTTTGCTTGATCTGACGGGTCAGCGATAAATCTCACGAAAAGATTAGAAGGTTAGGTCACTGAGATCTAGTTTCCGTTTCATACAGGCGAGAAATGACGGCTAATTAGTGATGGGATACAGGATTGAACTGGTCAAATAACGCCTAAGAACCTACTCCAAAAGGTCAACCACCTTGTGTTATTCCTCTTTTAGGTG